TCTCATTTTTTAATATAACATTCGAAAGCTTTTTGAATTTTATTTTTATTGTTGGAAACTTAAGATTTCACCAGTTTTACACTTTAAAAAAATTTATCCTGGTCAATATTAAGTGAGCCCTTTTAATCTGAGAGCTAGTTTGTTTTTCAAGTTCTGTATATTTTCTTCTAATGTTTTGACAAGTATTTATTGCTTTTGTTTTTTCAGTTATCTCCTTCTAGAACTCCTGTCAGATGATCGTTGCATTGTTTGGATTGAACCTCTGTGTCTCTCAAATGTTCTTTCATACTTTCTGAGTTTGTGTGTGGATGTGTTTCCTGCATTCTTGGATATCCCTTCAACTTTATTTGTTATATCAGTGACTTGGCTATGGTTGAATTAATACTTCTGCCTTTCATCAATTTTTAAAAATTTAACAATTGCTAATTTAAAGCTCTTTCTTTTCCCTGATTCCCCTTTTATTTTAGCAGTCTGTTCTTGTTTCTTGGTTGCAGTAGTCTCTCAGTACTCTGAAGGTATTCACTAAATTAAACCTTAAAATTCCAAAGTTATCTTCTTTTCCTGGAATTATCTTTTTCATTTAGGGTCATGTGTTTATTTCTAGCATCATTGTTTTTCTCTTTCATTGCTATTATTCAATTAATTTTGATTCTTAGTTTATTAATGGAGGACTAGATTAATTGATTGATTCATATAGGTAATGGCTATGTATTTCCTGTGCAGTTGTGTAGACCTGTGTTCTCCCAGGAACTCTCTGTGAATAGGAGTCTGGGCCTGCATGTGTGGAGAAGTGTGTCAGTTGTCACACTTCACTTAAAGACACATAAATATGGCATCAATGCCAAAGGAACAAGAGTTCTGAAGAACTGTGATTTATGTCCTTTTCAGGCAAACCAAACTTCCCTTTCTGTACTCCTATCCATATCCATTTAGAAAGCCCCACGTGAAGTGCAATCCAACCTTCCTTTGTCCACAACCACCACACCCTCACTAGGACAGCCACCGCCACCACCAACGCAGTGGTCACTCCATTACCAA